GAATCCGTCTCACGTTGGACCAGTCTACTCCCTCCAACAGGTCAACAGTCTGTGGTTTAAACCACCAACAAGTCTGTGTGTCCCTAAATAAGCAAATACTAGATGTAATAAGAAAACCCTCCATTATAACAAACTGCAAGTAATGCCAAGGGCATTTCATAAGCTTGTTATAACTACCAGGATTTTCTGTGAGATTTCTTTTTCTTTTAGAAACAAGATTATTTTTTTGTGCCTTTTCTTAAAACCTTAACCACCCAACAACTGTTTCTAAGCATTAATGTAACTGTGCTCATCCAGCAACCCCTTCTCCCAGATGTACCCTTCATCCACGCTACTGCAGGCAGTCCCACACCACCACTTACGCAGGTGAAGAGTAAACCCAAGTATAAATTGCAGTTCACACCAGAGGATTTTAGTCACTCATTCTGATGGGGCAAAAACTTTCCAGAGCCAATAAAGCAAGTACATTTCACATCTGGCACACAGCAGACTTATGAGTGACTTTGACAGAATGCTGCTGTGAGCAAAATGTGTTTCAGCACTGCACCTTTACCAGGGGAATTAGAGTGTTCTCATTAAGATGATAGAAATAAAGAGCTGAGTGGTAATAAAAGAGAAAAACAGGAAAATAAAGTGTGGCATGACCCATTTCATAATAAAATGGTTAGTTTTATAGATAGTCTTGGATGTATTAAAAAAGGGATCCAGCTCATCCTCCTTTCTCAACATGATGGGATCCAGTCTGATGCATGCACCACATGCAGCAAGGAGCTTCTGGTAGGAATCTAGGACCTTCCTGTTGCTATTCAGAAAGTAAAACAGTTTTAATGTATAAATTGTTAATGGATGTCCAGCTCTGCTATGGGATATTCAGTACATACACATGGTAATGAACACTCCTGATTTAAGGTGCAGGATGACAGTAGAGAATAAAGAAGCTTTTAATAGGACAAAATCTGCCCTTCAGAATTGAGTCCCTGAGCACAATCTGAGCAGCTTTTGTGCTCTTCGTAAAGTAGTAGAGCAGCAAGATAAGCAAATCATCCTTTTGGTAGTCCTCAACAAGATAATTATTTAGAAGGTAAAGAGTTCTTAGAATTCTTTTACAAATGACAAATATTTTCCTCACTTACCAGAAATCAGCCTAATTATTCTATCTCTATCATATGTTTACAGACTTTTTTTTTTTTTGCATGATCATACACTAGTCAATAAGCAAAAGAGACAGAACTGAGCGTATATAAATGGGAAGGCCATTCTCGTGGTTACATGATTACCAAAGCAATCAAGAATGCTACTTTTATTCTGGTTCTGCTACAGTTCACTGCCTGAATGCAGGCCAGTCACTGGCTCCAGTTGGGTTCATTCAGTTTTCCTACTGTGAATTTGGAAAGCAGTGACAGTCAGCTACCACCATGCTCCATGCCACAGAAAAGCCTGTGAATAAACGGAATTTTAAACAGTCTGTGCCAGTGTGCAATTACACTGTAATATAACCCAGGGCTCACAGGGTATCGCTAACAGCAGCTCCATATCTGGGAGGAATACCATACGTAGCAGTACGCATCAGATTTGAGATATCTAGACTCCCTGGAACCGAAGGCTTTAGTCCCCTGGCAGGATTAACACAGCCCTTCACCCTTGGTGACAGCATATAATTCTCTCTCATCCAAATGTTAACCAAGGAGCTCCTACAGAAGCATCCCAGCTCAGCCTGTGATAACCAAAGTACAAAATCGGGGACATATTACCTCATTGTCCAGTCTGGGGGAAAACACAAAAAACCCCACCCTTCCTCTAAATTATAGTCAAGGCAGCAGTACCTTTACCTGACCAATCTGTTTGCTATTTGTAGCAAATTACCCTTGAAACATTCAGCTTGTTCCAGAAAAAGCAGGCTACCAGATAGCAGCACAGCCTCCACTAGTGGAGAAGAAAATCTTACAGCCAGACCAAGGAGATTTGCTGCTCAAAACTATCTGTTGTTTGGGCCTCTTATCAATCCCGTGTCAAAACACTCTTCTTCCCTAGTCCTGCATTCATTAACAGACTAGACTTTAGAGTGGGGGAAACTATGGAAGAGGAGGTTCCTAGGCATCTCTAAGAGCTTACTTCAGAAGGTAGTGATTTTCAGAAAGGTTGCTGCCAGATTCACATCACACTTTAAAAACAAAAGCATTTTTTATCCCCCGGAGTCTTCCTCTTTCCCTTGCCACTACATTTTACACAGGAGGCTGTCAGGTCCTGCCCAAAGCCACTCTCATCCCACTGTAGGTTGTGCTGACATCCTTCTCCTACCCACTTAGGCCCCGTGTAACACGAGGAGGGCAGCTACCAGTCCCCCATGAAGCTGGTATCCAGGATCCATCAGTGCGCAACTTCCAACCACAACTAACACCGCAGGAGGTTGTAGGCTACAAACTCTCCCAAGCTTTTAGAGTTCATTTCATTACAGGTGAAATGGGCACCACGCATAAGAGGAGACAGAAAATATATACCTGACAGACTGCTTGCTGATCCCTCGCCCAACACTGAGTTGGGCCTCTCTTCTTAACTGAGCTGATGATTTTCCTGAAGGTTGTAAGAATTTAATAATCCTTAACACTTTAACCTCTGTCAGATTTGTTGTATTAGTCTATAAATACTGGCTTGAGATTAGCCAAGGGCTTTCAACACTTTTGTGTCTGAAAATATCTGGTAAACAGACAACAGGACCACAGAAGTTCAATTTGTTTCAAGAAGACAAGCCAAAAACAACATGCAGGCAAGTGGGGACTGAGGAGCACCCCAGCACATGCGCAGGTCTGGCCCACACGAGCAGAAGGGAAGCTTGCCACAGCACTAGATTCAGCTGAGCAGGCAGCTCGCCAGCATCCCCCCCAGCTGCCCACCACCCTTCCTCTCTTCTACTTTAACTGACAACTGTCTGAAGTCTTCAGGAGAGATGCTTCAACATTTGTGTGTTGTTCAAATGGATAATAAAATAAGCCTCAGCGTCCAAAAGAGAAATGAGAGGGTGTGGGGGTGATGTATTAAGATATACTCACTGATAATAGCTGCCAGATCAAAACACTGGAAAACACTTCAGTGCTTAATTAAAAGGGGACACAAGACAGGAGGCATTACTGCCTGGCAAGATATCATTAAAACACACAAGCTTTGGTGGAACTGAGTATACTTAACGAACAGGGAAGATCAATATGCACCACTTTTCCTCAGCTCTCCTCTGCTCCAATCATCCTCTTAAAAAGAAACCTTTATGAGCTAAAATTTAAAAGCGTATTACCCTCCCTCACCTTCTCTCATGCTATTTATTTTTTGAGAGCTTGTTATTCAATAGGAAAGTTCAATATGACACAATAATACAATGAAACCTCTGAAGCATCAGAGCATCTATTCTTTCCTTCTGGAAGCACACAATTTTCTGCAAGTTTCTTCTACAGTACTAGAGTTTTATAGAAAATGTAAAACAATCAATTTAATTAAAGCTTGAGGAACTTTTTCCAGAAAGAACCCAGGAAAGAGGGTTAAACTTGCATCAGAATGGATGAAAAGCCTTGTTTTACCTCTTTTTTACTAGCTTTTACGTTTAGCTCTCAAAGACAAGTGTGATCTGATGCCTCTATCAGCACAAGAGAATAGTACCATACTTCAAACTTCAAACTGTCATCCTTGCAAATCTCTTCTTGCCACAAAATGAGGAGTGATTCCTTGCTCACAGACAACTTTACAGCCATGTGTCATCTCAACTACTTTATGCAAAGGAAAGGTAAAGTTCACCAGCACTGTGCAATCGTTTACAGCCGTAAGAGTTGCCATAAGAGATCAGCCCAACAGCCTATCAAATGTAGTCCCCAAGACAGAAACTAGTGCCAGAAAACGTATCCAAAATTCATTTAAGATAAGAAGCTTTTTCATCAAACTCAGCAGGTTTTGAATTGAACTGCTTTAAAAAAAAAGTGAAAAAATAATAAAGCAACAACCCAAATTGACATTTATACCACCACACATCTACAGGATATTGGGCTAGTATGAGATAGCTAGAGATTGTTTTATGAGATTGATAATCTTTGCTTTTTTTATTCTGGTTCTTGTAAACATTTTCTTAAAATATGTAAGAGTCAGGGATGTGACTTCATTACCTGGATAGGTACATGGTCATTCATAACAGTTTAATCATTTTTTGACATTGTGATGTATCCCCTTTACAATGAATTCTACAGAGTAATTGTAGAATATGCGAAAAAAAAAAAATCTTATTGTATGTGCGTTTCTTTTCCATTCCATTGCTGTTGCGCACTGTTCAGGAGCTGTATGAAAAGGCATAAGGGAACACCACTCTACTCATCAACTTTCACAAGTATTAAGTGCTGCAGACTTACTGCTTAAACAAAAGCTAAAGTCTGTTGACTGCATCCCTCCAAGGTGTTTCCTCTGCCTTTCCTTATGCTAAGATAGCTGAATTTCTCCACAAGATAACTCTTCCTGATTCAGAAGTTACACTGTATTCACCACCCTGCCTGGGGATCCCTACATCTGGCCAGCAAAACGAGCGTTCCTTAGCGCCGCGGTTACCGAGCTGCCTTCTAAGAAAGGGATCCTTCACAGGAGGAAAAAAATCTGCTTTAGGTGCTTAGCAAAGGGATCGCATCGGTCTGAAACACGGCCAGATGCTCACGCTGGCGATCAATAAGCGCTACCTGCGCCAACCCCGAGGAGCTGCTGCGATCTCTTTTCCCAGCAAGTCTTTCAAAATTATTTCAGCAAGAGGCGTGCCAAATCCCCTTCGCTCCCCGCTACCTGCGCCCGGCACGGAAGCCGGCGCGGGCTGAAGGCAGCCGCGGTGCAGCAGCCGCGGTGCAGCGGCTCCTCGCAGCCCCCCCGACGGCGGCACCGGGGGCAGCACCCGGGGCCGCCCCCGAGCCTCCCGCAGCGCCCCGCGCCCCGCGGCACCCCCCCCCCTAACCCCGCGGGGAGGGGGGGGGGGGGTCGGTACTGACCGGCCGTCGGCACGTCGGGGACCAGCTTGAGGGGCCCGATCTGCCGCAGCTGAAACGCCGTCCGCACCTCGTGGCAGCTGGGGGACTTGCCCGCCGCCGCTCCGCCGCACAGCCCCGCCGCCGCCAGCAGCCACAGCCCCAGGAGCCCGCGGCTCCCTTCGGCGGCCATCTCGCACCCCCGGCGGCCGCGGGCCGGGCCGGAGCGCTGCGGGGCGCGGGGCCGTGTGGCGGGCGCCAGTCCCGGCGGCGGCGGCGCTGCTCCCCCCCCCCCCCCCCCCCCCCGCCTCCCGCGCTCCTCCTCGGCCGGCGCCGCCGCCCGCCCCCGCCCCTCCCCGCCCGCCCGCCGGGTCCCGGCGAGGGGGAGAGCGGGGGAGAGGGAGCCCCGACACGCACGCCCCGCGCACGGTACAGCCGCTCCCGGAGGGCGGGAGACCACGGGAGGGGCCTCGCCCCGCTTCGGCCCCACAGCAAAAGGGGGCTCTGGGGGCTGGTGGCGGACTGCGGCGCAGCCGCACGGGAAGTTGAACGCCGAAGTTTTCGCAGAGCATCTGTAGGGTGACTGCCCGGCGTGAAGGCGGAGGCAGCAGGTTTAGGGCAATTCCAGTCACCCAAGGGTCACGCCGAGGGAGATGCGCTCTCTCAGGCACGCGCTCCCAGCCCGGGGTTGCACGGAGTGCAAACAGAGCAACAGCTATAACCCCCCTAAAAGCACAGCAGGTGGGAAAATCATGCACAGTTTGCTTCAATTCTGAAACTCCTGGCAGGTGACGTGAAGGCCATGGACCAGTCTTCACAAGACGAGCGTTAACTCCAGCCCCAGTCACTGCAGAGACCAGAAAATACTTTGCACCAGGAAACGCATCTTTATGTACCAACTGCAAATATGAATTGTTGATTTGTACAAAAAAAAAAAAAAAAAAAAAAAAAAACACAAAAAACAAAAAACAAAACAAAACAGTAGCAGTTACATCCTATATTGTTTGAGGGGACATAGGTCCCTCCTGGGGCTGAGACCATCTTGAGAGCAGCTGGTGTCACCATCAGAGAGGTCTTCTTCAATCTTTTCACTGACTTAAGCATTCTTTGTTATCATCTGCTTTGCCACACATTTCAGCATAGAACTATGCCCAGCATCCATGAATATTTTCCGTTTCACAAAAGCAATTTACAGTGAAACCAAACTCAAAAAGTCTCCCATAGACATCCCCATTTGCACAGTACCCTTCAGGCATATGGAGCGCATTACAAGCTACAAGAATTACTATTGTTTGAGGCCATTATGTCTGATTTCTTTAAGGTTACTTGCAACATCGAGATGCTTCTAATGTGCTCCTGGAGCCCACCTGCAGCTAATTTAACCATTATACATTCCCATAGGAGAGGCTGAGATCAGTGCTGTAAGGTAAGTTGCCCAAGTTGTATTTTAATAGCTAGAAGTGCAAATCCTTTAAGCGATTTGCTTGTATTAACTTTGTTTCTATCAAGACAGAAAGAAATCAATTCTCTCTTTTTTTTTTTTTTTTTTTTGGAAAAAAACAACCCGATTTGATTCAGAACATTTAACTTGTAAAGTAGAAAACAAACTGAAAGAACAAACCAGCCATATAAATCAGGCTTTTTACATTCAAAAGCAGATCAGAAGTCACCTTCGAAGCCTTCTGCCCACCCAGGTCAGAGCTGCAGTCTTTTCCTCATCCTGCAGCTCTCAGAAAGTCACCCCAAGAGCCCAGGACAGCGGGGTGCAAAACGGCACGCCCAGAGGGCTGACCCTCAGGAATTCCAGAGCCCATGGACACAGATACAGGTTAATTTTGTTTTCAGTTTGATATGGGTTATACCACCACCAAGGTTTAAGTTACATACATGTGCATTAATAGGATCAGACCCCAAATCAAGGTGGCAATGGGTAAAGTAAAGAGATATGAGGGAATAATCAGCATCAGTGAAAGAACAATTAGCATCATAAGGCGCAGCACCCCGGCTGCCCACCTACTGTCCAGCATGTGGCTTTACGAACCCAAGGAAGAGGAACAAGTTGCCGCAGTTGCATTTGCTTTAACCTCAGGCCCAATCCTAAAAGACTTCATTCAGACAATACGCCCATTGACTTCAGTGGGAGTTCTGCCAGAAAAGAAATGGCAGGATGATGGATCTGAAGAAAAATTTATTTGACGAATAACAGCATTATTTGGCATATACATTATTCTATGAATAGCATCTAATCAGTCCTGTGCAAAGGCTCAAGACACTTAATTCAGTGGGATTTTTGCCATTGTTTTCAGTTGGTGGCAAGTTCAAATCCCAAATGGCTAATCCTTTTCTAGCATGATTTATTTTAGTGCTTCATCTTAATATGATGGGTGTGCTTTTCGTCACCTGTCTTTTTCTGGCTAAGTTATGTCACTTATTTGTATTTTTGAATTGGTCCTCATATTGTTAGTAGAGGAAAATCCATTATATTATCATCTCCAGTTCCCCTCCTTTCCTCAAAATCCTGCTAAGGAACCTGAATTATACACGTACACAAATACAACAGAAAACTCAAAGTCAGTGAATTGGAACACCCATATATGTCATACTGGTTACTTCAATACATAAGGAAACACGTTTCTTATGGTTTTGTAACTACTATATTGAGAAGAATTAAAGATGACCTGTTATGTTTTTTGGGCTCAATTCTGAATTTTTTTCCCCTCTGCAAAAAAAATATGTAAATTCCCACACACTGTTCAGGTGTAAGCTTTTAGCCCTGACTACATTTTTTCCCTTTTTTTTTTTTTTAATGTAGTGCAGATAGGAGAAAGGGAAAAGGAAAAGTTGGAGGCTAAATTAGGAAATGGTCATTTCTTGATGACCAACATATCTGAATACATTTAAATATGCCTTTTTAGTTAAATGTTCTAGAACATGCTACTCAATCACCCATAACAATAAGATGGTCATCACCTTCAGCAGTCACAGGTGATGTGCTGCACACAGACTCAGCACAGCCCACAGCTGAATGCTGTGTGCTCCCTGACAGCCCTGCATCTCTGAGATGACACAACTATCACACCTCTTTCCTGGCACTACTTCAGTGACAAATTACAACCTTCTGGCACCAATGAGGATGCAAGAGTGCTACTTAAACCCACAAAGTGTAAACTGACAGGCACCTTGGGTGTTTCCCCCTACAAAATGGTGATCAGAACCCAGTGTCATGTTTCAGTGCAACTGACTTCCTGGAGGACTGAGAACAGAAACCACAGGTATAATACAGTGGACCCCAAGGAATTGTGGCTCTGTTTCTCCAAAACATGTGCTCCACATACAGCAGGGCAGTCAGAGTGACTTTAGTGGAGGTAGTCAGGTGCTTAATGGCCAGTATATGCCTAAATTCTTTGCTGGAAGAGGGCTACAGAAAACAGAAGAGCCATTTAACTAATTATTGTACATGACATCCTACCACGCTTCAGAAATTTGCTTGGAACAATCAGTTTACCTTGTCAACAGGTGTCCTGTATTTTAACAAATGAATATTTATTAACCATACATCACTGAGAACTGTATCAGTACTTTTTATAATGAATAGCAATATAAATCTGCCCAAACAATCCACTCAGTCTTAATCCTGCTAAAGTGACCACAATACTCAGCATGAGCTTTGGATGTCTAAGAAAAGCTGGGATCAGGCCTAGAAACAGGGTTTTGTATGCCTGTTGCTCAGCCCTTCTCTTGCTGAATATAGCTGGAGCTTTGCCAGCGATTTAAATGGAAGCTGGACTAATTCCCTTATGTTTAAGATAAGCTCATCTCCAACACTGGACTTCCCACCAATGGGACTTAATGGGCACAAGGTCTGCTCTTGTCAATTCAGCTGCCAGAGTGAAGCCTTACTGTGTGTGCCTCAGCCATTCCAGGAAAGTTAGTAAACTAGTCTTTAAAGCCTTATTTTATCTTTAGAGGTCCAATTTTCCAAGGTACATGTTTCACTGAAGCACCTGAGGAACTCAGCTGACAACTCAGAAGTAAAATCAAGGGGCCTGTTTAAGTCACTGGAATGAGCCCAAATCACATGCTGATTTTCATTTAAAATAAACTTAATCAGCCTCAAAAGAAATGCAAAATCCTCTGTCCAGAAGAATCTGTAATTAAGACAATTTTCTTTTCTCAGGTTTCTATAATTTTCAGTTTTTCCTTCTTTTAAGAAAGTTAAATCCATTTTCTGAAGACTACTCCATTTCAAGTCAGAGCAAACTTTAAAGCTGAGTATGAAATTTTAAATATAGATTGTAAAAGAAAAAAAGTCATGCATAAAATATTCATAACTATGCGAAGACTAAAAAGCACTACTAGGAAATTATTTCTAGTAATTTTACTCAAAATTTTCTCATCCTGTTAAAGTGATGAATACTATAAAACTAAGAAAAACTACCAGCATAAGCGTATAATTCTCTTTTTTGTTTAGAGATCCCATTTATTTCTCATTCACTCAAAGTACTGAGCACAGGGAGAATAAGTATGCTGCCATACCATGAATTGTTTCCTGTGTTGTATGTACTCCACATGGAAAAAATGTGTGCGGACCTTTTTGATGGTCAGAAGGCAGCAGTATTCCTGTGCTGCCTCATTATTTCATGGGTATTTTTCACTTTACCAGACCTATTCAAATGCATAGTTTAAAAGTGCCTGTTGTACTCTTTTTTTTTTTTTTTTCTCTGAAAAAATCATGCCTGAAAGGCACAGCTGTTAACTATACCATAACACTCATTTTTAAGAAAAAAATTATTAGACCACCAACCAACAAAAGATCTATGAAGTAATTACAATTGGTGCAAAAACCCAGCAAGTCAGGACAGCAATTAGTTCAGAGAAAACATCCTATAGACAACACTGAAGAGAATTCCACTTTTTCATCATTTTCTAATACTTCCTCCTTTTAACGGTATGAGAGCGATTATTTTGGTTCAGACCAAAAATCCTTTAGCCCATTGACTTGTCTCCTCTGGCAAAGGTCAGAACTACTATGCTCATTTAGAGATTACACCATGGGCAACGCATCAGAGTTCTCCCTCTCCAGATCGCAATTTCAAATCACACCCTGGCCACCAGAGACTGCTATGTATTTTCTCTGACATCAGCCGAGAACATCAGCCTAATTCCCAGAAGAGCAGCTTTTTTTTGTCATAAAAAGATTGCCCCAAGAAACAGGAATCTTTAAATCTCACTGGAGATGTAAGGGAGGAAAAGGCACACAGACTTTTCT